CAGTGGTAGAGCGCTTGCCTTGCATGCCTGAGGCCCTGGGTTCGATTCCTCAGCACCACATAAGAAAAAAGAAAAAAGCTGGAAGTGGCGCTGTGACTCAAGTGGTAGAGCGCTAGCTTTGAGCTGAGGAACAGTGCCCAGGCCCAGAGTTCAGGCCCCACGACCGGACCCAAAAAAAAAAAAAAAAAAAAAGACTTAGCTTTGTGAACCTGATGATAAAGCAAAAAAAGGTTCATTTTTGTAAATAATACTGGTTTATTGGTGTTAGATTTATCCTAATTTATGAACAAGAGGTTACTCTTTCCATGCATAGTTTTAGACAAAGTTACAATAAAAGATTGATGTCTTGTAATATAAATGTTGTCCACTTCCCTTATTCAAGGGCTAGAACAGTTAGGAACATAATTGGCTGAGGCTCTTACGTGAATGTGAATTAGGCCAAGATTTTCAGCCCATCCTTTAGTGACTTAGAGGATCTAGCCACTTCAGGTATATTTATATCCATTTTTTCCACTCCCCTTCATGTTACTTCATCTCCTTATTCTATAGGAATGTGAACAGTAGAGAAACAAGGGCTCAAATGCATATGTCTCTGCACTTTTACACCATCCTACTTCCTTAACACAAATAAACATTAAAAAATCTTTTGTAGTAATTTTTTGTGACTAACATCCTCATGACATAGGTGTTGTCAGGAAATTTTAAAAAATGGACTTTGAAGAAGACTGGAGACTAGATAAGGATTCCTTGAAAAACTGGACAGAGCAGGGCGCTGGTAGCTCACCCCTATAATCCTAGCTACTTAGAAGGCTGAGATCTGAGAATTGAGGTTTAAATTCGGTTTGGGCAGGAAAGTCTGTGAGACTCTTATCTCCAATTAAGAACCAGAAGTGGTGCTGTGGCTCAAAGTGGCAGAGTACTAGCCTTGAGTAAAAAAGCTCAGGGACAGCACCAACGTCCGAAGTTCATGTCCCACAACCAACAAGAACCACAAAAAACTGGACAAAGCCAGTTGTGGCAGCCTGTAATGGAAGTTGAAAAAGAAGGTTGCCAAGTTTGAGGCTGCCAAAAAATAAAGAACAAGCCAGATGCCAATGGCTCACCTCTATAATCCTAGCTACTCAGGAGGCTGAGATCTGAGGATTGCAGTTTTCAAAGCCAGCCCAGGAAGGAAAGTCCATGAGACTTATCTCCAATTAGCCACCAAAAAAGCTAGAAGTGAAGCTGTGGCTCAAGTGGTAGAGTACTATCCTTGAACAAAAAAGCTCTGAGAAAGCACTTAGCTCAAACCCTCTAAGTGGCACCAATAACCAGGCAGGAGGGTTGGATTGCACAGTGACCCAAACAGCAACTTCTGAGATGACTTCCTGGTCTATGATCACTCCCCTTTTAGCTCCATATTACAGTTGGACTTGGATACATCATTTGCAAAACATTCCAGTAACGAAAGTAGTTACTGTGAAAAACTATTTGAGCCGGGCACCGATGGCTCATGCCTGTAATCCTAGCTACTCAGGAGGCTGAGATCTGAGGATTGCCATTCAAAGCCAGCCCAGGCAAGAAACTCCAATAAACCACTCAGAAAACCGGAAGTGGCACTGTGGCTCAAGTGGTAGAGTGCTGGCCTTGAGCTGAAGAGCTGAGGAAGAGTGCCCAGACCCAGAGTTCAAGCCCCATGACTGACCAAAAAAACAAACAAAAAACTAATTGAATTTGGGTAGAATAGGACATCCTAGTTTTATAATACTGTGTAACTGACCTGTAGTGATTATAAGGGTGGTTATAGAAAAAAGAAAATATGAACTTGGCCTAAAATTTGTGGCAGTTGCCATTGGGGACCTACAAGACATTCCTAATATGCCTATTCACAGAACCTTCCTTATCTGTGCCTGGCCTGGTATCTGCAGGGACATTGTGGTTTGGGACAGTGGTTCTTAACTATGATTTTACAGTAGCAACGTTTTTTTTTTGGTCAGCTATGGGGCTTCAACTCAGGGCCTAGCTGCTATCCTTGAGCCTCTTTGTGCTGAAGACTAGTGGCCACAGTGCCACTTCCGGTTCTTGAGTGGTTAATTGGAGATGTGGGGACTTTTATGCCTGGGGTGGCTTTGAACCACAATCCTCAGATCTCAGCCTCCTGAATAGCTAGGATTACAGGCATGAGCCACCAGCATCTGACTACATTAGAAGCTTCAAAAAGTCCTAATACCTTGGTCCTTCCCCTACTCCAAGATTCTAGATTCACTTAAGAGTATATTTTTGAAATAAGGATTTTTTTTAAGTTCTAGATAATTTGAAGTTACAGAGATCAATTCTAGATATGAACAATCATGGGTGAAAACCAGTGGTTTGCAGGTGATCAACTAGACTGGGGTGCAAAAAGTCCTGTTTTTAGATTGCCAGAGATATTTGGGTAAGTGTCAGTTTTTCTCAGCAGCTCTTTTCTAGCTGTAACATCTCTCAATAAAGATGGCTATGATTTAGTTTGAACAGACGAATGGTGTAAATTGTATGTTTACCCTTGTATTCATTTTCTTTTCTCATTTCTGGTCCTGCTTTCTTTATTAGAATGGTCTAGGAGTATTGCATAACCTAGTATCTCTCTTCAAAAGAAATAAAGGTGTAGTATTGTGGAGGGTAAAGAAATGTCACTCTATAGCCAAGCACCTGTGGCTCACACCTATAATCCTAGCTACTCAGAAGACTGAGATGAGGATCTCAGTTCAACGCCAGCCCAGGCAGGAAAGTCTGTGAGACTCTTATCTCCATTTAACTACCAGAAAACCAGAAGTGACGCCGCTGTGGCTCAAGTGGTAGAGCGCTCGCCTTGAGCTGAAGAGCTGAGCGACGGTGCCCAGGCCCAAAGTTCAAGCCCCACGACCGACCAAAAAAAAAAAGAATCACAAGGCTGAAAATGATTTATTGATAAATGATCTGATTAGTTACCATTCTTGCTGGATGATTTGTATTCAAGCATGCGCAGAGGAAAGGATAATTTTTCCAACCTACCTAAAAGGTGATCATTTTAAAACCTTAGTTGGTATGTTGTGGTTTGATCAGAAGGCTTGGAGGTTTCATCCTGAGCAAAAACTTTTCAAAACAGATTAATTTTCTATTTAAGACTAGTAGGAAGGAATCAAGAAAACATACTTTCATCTTAAGAGATTCCTTAGCTTCATGAGGGACTGACTCTTTCTGGTTGGATAGTGATTATCTGCAGGTCGGAAGATCGTCCCAAATTTTCTGTAAAAATGAAAAGGGGAAGCGGGGCATTAGTGACTCACGCCTGTAATCCAAACTACACTGGAGGGCGAGATCTGAGGACCGCAGTTTGAAGCAAGCTCAGGCATGAAAGTTTGCGACTCTCTGCTCCAATTAACCACCAAAAAGCCTGAGTAGAGCTGTGGCAAGTGGCAGAGTTCCAGCCTTGAGCAAAATTGCTCAGGGATAGCGCCCAAGCTCCAGGAAAAACACTTGTCTAGATACACAATCACTCAGTAGATATTGCAACCAGAGGCTGTGCTTGGGGATTCCCTTTACCCATCCTGTGGCCTAGGGCAAGACCGCAATCTCAATGCTCAAAATCTAAGAGTCCACACTTGACTAACCGGCCTTCGGATGGGATCTAAGTTTGGATGCTCGCGTCTAGTTTTCATAAGCACACTAGGTTACCCCTAGGATAGATTCCCGAGTGCTCTACGGAAGCCCTCCAGGCCCAGACTTCCAGGAGGACGGCCTGGAGAGGAGAAAGAAGACTGATCGCCCCCGTCTCGAGGTTCGCCCTCCGATTTTCCTCTAGAGTGAGGACCAATGGCTGACGGGATGTCAGTGCCAGCCTTAGGGGCTGATGTCGGTTTTTCTGCAGGCGGAAGTAGCGGGACGCCGTGGTTTCCGTCCGTAGTCCTCCGACACTTCCCTCCCGGAGAGAAGCCACCTTCACTAACTCCCGGAAGCCGGCGTAGACTTCAAAATCTGACCCACTGAAAAGCACCGCCCCACGTGCCTGCGTGGGTACGTGCGTGCGCGCGCGCGCGCGCCTGCCTGCGTGCGTGACTGCGCACAGGCTGCTGGGATGTCACCTCTTCCCTCCCGGTCTCCCAGTTTCCCGGCGTGCTTCGGGCCCGCCAAATGGGAGGGGGAGACGCAAGATGGCGGCAGCCGCGAACTCCGGCTCTAGCCTCCCGCTGTTCGACTGCCCGACCTGGTGAGTAGTGCGGCTGCCGGGCTCGGGATGGGCCGGCTGGACCTAACCTGGGCTGGAAGGGCGGCTCTCTTCTTGTGCCTACACGTACGGCTCAAAGACCCCGAAGTGACAGGGGAAAACTGTCCCCCGTGCGGGGCCGGGCGCCGTGTGGAGGAACCGGAGCCTGGAGCGCGGGCCCAGAGCTGCTCCGGATTCACGGGTTGGGGCCCCCGAGGAGCTCGTTTTAACAGTCCGGAGGGCGCCCAAGCGCTTGCCGGGGTGCCCCAGACCTTGGTCCTTAACTTAACCCCCAACTCCGGACTGAGCGCCCGGAGCTGCTGTGCAGCCGTCCCGGCCCCCCAGGCCCCGGCCCGCCCCGGAGCCCCGCGTCCCTCCCTCGTGTCGGGCTGCATCCCGTCCCGCGTGGGGTGCCGCCCCGCGTCCCCCTCCCCCTCCGGGACTGGGAGCTCCCTGAGGGCAGGGATGGCGCCAACCTGACCCCCTTGTTCTTAGTGCCCAGCAGGAAGCTCGGCACAAAAGATGGCAGGAATTGTTGGAATGAAATCTTTTTCAGTCCTTGGAAAGTTCTTGGGAGTGATGGGCCGATTTAAGTCTTTTGAGGAGGTAGAAGATGAATAAATGTGAGTTGCTTTGCAAGCGAGACACATCCGAGTTAGAGCTTTTACCCCTTGCAGCTCATTACAGTGTATCTTTAACATGTTACTTGTTCTTCTCCACACACACACACACACCCCCATGTTGAACTCTGCAAGGGCACAGATGTGTGCATGCATCTGTATCCGCAGCTCCTAGGCCTGAGGCGATTACATAGCGGGCATTCCGAAATGTATTTCAAATGTAATTCCTTTTTCTATTTCCCAGATAAAACTGGGCTTTTGTCCAGTTCACTGTCCTTTAAACTATTGCCATAAAAAGGTTTGAGCATCATTCATTATTGAGATGATGTTGCATCTTCAATTAGATAGATTAGATATATTTCTCATGTGCAAATGTAGGAGCCCTGAGCAAAGGAAGCAAATGAATGTGTGTGTGTGTGGCTACTTTCTGGATTTCTTTGCACTTTTGTAACCTCCATTTGCTTCAGCTTCCAACTTCTTTGTCCATTTGGTCTCTGGCTTCATTGATTTGAAATTTGGGACAGCGTATTTAATACAACAGCGGGCCATGGTGGCTCACGCCTGTAATCCTAGCTACTCAAGAGGCTGAGATATGAGGGTGGCAGTTCAAAGACAGCTGGGGCAGGAAAGCCCTTGAGATTCTTATCGCCAGTAAACCTCTCTCAGAAAACCGAAAGTGGCTCAAGTGGTAGAGTGCTAGCTTTGAGCTGAAGAGCTCAGGGACAGCTCCCAGGCCAAGAGTTCAAGCCCCATGACCACCACCCCCCCAAAAAAAAAATATATATATGAGACTCTTTGGGAACTATACATATATGTATCTATATCTATCTCTCATATATATATATATATATATATATATATATATATATATATATATATATATATATCAAATCTCAATGCCAGAGTAGCTAGGATTACAGGCCTGAGCCATGAGCACCCAGCTGAGACTAATCTTGATCAGCTCAAAACAGCAAACTCATTCTAACTTTCTATGATATTAAGGTAATAGCAGACTCCAGGTGATGGGCCTATACCAACTATAGTACTTAGCATCTATGCTGTTTTACCTTTAAAGTGAATATCCAGTGTTAAAATATAGGTCTCTTTGGTGCTGCTCTAAATTCAGATACACCAAAATCTCTTTTTAGAGCAGTTGAATCCCTTGGGAAGCGTCAATGTGGAAAGGCACTATAATAGTGAAGTAGATGGATGTTTCTACTTGCACATGAACTAATTATAGGCTTATAGAAGAGCAGCGATGCCTGGCGCCGGTGGCTCATGCCTGAATCCTAGCTACTCTGGAGGCTGAGATCTGAGGATCATGGTTCAAAGCCAGCCCGTGCAAGAAAGTCCATGAGACTTTTATCTCCAATAAACCATTCAGAAAACTGGAAGTGGCACTGTGGCTCAAGTGGTAGAGCACTAGCCTTAAGCTGAAGAGCTGTGGGACAGTGCTCAGGTCCAGAATTCAAGCCCCAAGACTGACAGAAGAAAGAGCAGTGATGTTGAATGAAACAAAGATTGTAAATGATATTTATGAACTCATCCTGAAAATACATTTTTCACTCTTTTACAGGGCAGGTAAACCCCCACCTGGCTTACATCTGGATGTAGTTAAAGGAGATAAGCTAATTGAGGTATGGAAATAAATGTCTTCTCTCCCCCCCCCCCCCCATTCTGAAGATTTTTGCAGTGACTCACTTTTCCACCTCCTCTCCTGTGCTTTGTTTTCTGGCAATGCTACTTTTGTTCGTCCTGAGTTTTCCTATTAAAAGCTCATGATGATATAACACATTTAAACAAAGCTCATATCCTACAGACACTGAGCTTTTTTTTTTTTCCCTCTCACCTTCCAAATGAACAGTTTCAATAGGTCTTGGGCCTATGGGCCTTATTACAAACTGGAAGCACTCTAATTTGTGAATTCCTGTGAGAACATGGAATTGTGTGGAAAGAACAAGGTAGGCAACAACTGAAGAAGAAAATGAAGATATAAATTGAATTAAACTTGAAAGTTGTTTTTATGAGATTCAGGTCTAGCTCCTCCAAAGAAGTATGATGAAGTTAGCTACTTGGTCAAAAAGGATAAGGAAATGGTAGTAAAATCATTCATTCAAAACAATTAATGGGGAGCTGGGAAGTTAGCTCAGTGGTACAGTGCTTGCCTAACATGCATGAGGCCCTGGGTTTGATTCCTCAGCACCACATAAGCAGAAAAAGCCGTAAATGGCGCTGTGGCTCAAGTGTTAGGGCCGAGTTCCAAGTCCCACAACTGACAAAAAAAAGAACAGAATCACACACAAAAATTATGTAACTACAGTTGAGGTGAGTACTGTAAAATAAAAGTTTAGCAGAATTCCAGCCCAGTGTTTATGTCAGTTTTTAGAGTGTATACCATATAGAATTTCACGGCAACCTGAGTTTTAATAACTCTTAATTGTGTCAGGGTTTTTTTTGTTTTATTTTTTAATGTCTTCATTGTTAGTTTCCAAGAAATGGAGATTAAACCTACTGGTTATTCCACTGGAATTAAGTTCAAATCCCCATTATTGAGGACAGTTGTTTTTGTTTGATGTATATAGTAAAATCATTGCAATTCTATGATTACTAACTTGAAAAGCTAGTGAATTTGTGTGTGTGTGTGTTGCGTGTTGCATTGCTGGAGACTGAAACTGGAGCTTAATATACACTAGGTAAGAACTATACTACTGAGTTATATGCTAAACCTTAGTGATATCCAAAGGATATATACTACTGTCATACTTAGGATGTTGTGATAAGCAGTGTTACAAAGTATGAAGGCAAACATGAGTTGTAATGAGTTCTGTTCCTAATTAAGCATGTATCCAGCCTGTCATTCAGAGCTCCTTTGTCATGGGTGATTAGATTTACTGTTACTCAGGTTTGAACTCAGCTTCACCCTTGCTCAATTTACTCGCTCTACTTGCATTAAATTACTTGAACCATACCTCCAGGTTGGCTTTTTGCTGGTGAATTTGGAGCTGGAATCTTAAGGAATTTCTACATAAGGTGGTTTCATACTGAAAGCCTGTGGCTTTCTGCTTCCTTAGTAGCTAGGATTACAGGTGTCAACCACTGACACCCAATTCTTTTAAGATTCAAAAATATCAAGATTGTTCAAGGAAATAATTTAACTATAAGTATCTGTAAAGCCAGTATTATTATAGATGCTTCCACAACTAAGATTTTTGTTGCCATGTGGAACAGCATAAACCTTGAAGACATTTAGAAATCAATTTTGTTTCTAGAATTTAGTAAATGTTTAGTTTGCAACAGGAAGAAAGAAACAAGCAGCAGACCTAATTTTAGGGGATTTTTGGGTTTTGGGTCCAATTGTGGGACCTGAACTCTGGGCCTGGGCGCTGCCCCTCAGCCCTTTAGCTCAAGGCTAGCACTCTACCACTTGAGCCACAGTGCCACTTCTGGCTTTTTTGCCCTGCTCATGTGGTGCTGAGGAATCGAACCCAGGGCCTTATGCATGCAAGGCAAGCGCTCTACCACTGAGCCACCTCCCAGCCCCAAAATGAAGACATTCTTTTTTTTTTTTTTTGTCAGTCATGGGGCTTGAACTCTGGGCCTGGGCACTGTTCCGGAGCACTTCAGTTCAAGGCTAGCACTACTTCTTGAGCCACAGCGCCACTTAGCAGACCTAATTTTAATAATAACATCACATTCCCCTGTAAAATAACTTATTTTCAAAACTCACTTATTTAGTACCACTCTGTGTGTGTGCACGCGAATACATATGTACATGTGCCAGTACTGGAGCTTGAATTCAAGGCCTCATGTTCTCACTTAGCCTTTTTCATTTGCTAATAACATTTTCTGTCAGTACTTTTATTTATTTATTTATTTTTGTGGATCTTGGGGCTTGAACTCTTCAGCTCAAGGCGAGAGCTCTATTGCTTGAGCCACAGTGCCACTTCCGGTTTTCTAGTGGTTTATTGGAGATATGAGTCTCACGGACTTTCCTGCCCAGGCTGCCTTTGAACCGTGATCCTCAGATCTCAGCCTCTTGAGTAGCTAGGATTACAGGTGTGATCCACTGGTGCCTGGCATGTCATTACTTTTAGATGTGTTGAGTTGCCACAGAATTGTCATGTTATACTTAGTTATTCTATACTGTTCTTGACCGGAATAAACCTGAGATGTGTGTATGTGTTCGTTTATGTATTTATTCTGCAGTGCTGAGGATCAAACCCAGTGCCTCATGCACTAGGCAAAGTGCTCTACTACTGAGATGCATCCCCAGCTCAGAGTTGTTTATTTATTTTTTTATTTTTTAAGGATTTAAACTTCATCAGCACTTGATACTCACCGAGCTATCTATATCCTAGTCTTGTGTCCAAGGCCTGTGATATGTGGTGATAGCTGGGTAGAAGAAGTGCAATATTAAAACAAGCCATGAGTCTGTTAAGCCCAGAGTGTAAAGACACACTCTGAGTTATAACTCATAGGCACAACTTAAGTAGACACAGCTACTCCCTTAAGAAGTTATGGCTTTAATGACTATAGAAAGATCAGTGTGTTACTTCATTCACTGATTTACACTTTTTTTTGTGGGGGAGGGGGGTCCGGTCGTGGGGCCTGAACTCTGGGCCTGAGCACTGTCCCTCAGCTCTTCAGCTAGCCCTCCACCACTTGAGCCACAGAGCCACTTCCGGCTTTTTTCTTTTTGCTTATGTGGTGCTGAGGAATCAAACCCAGGGCCTCATGCATGCAAGGCAAGCACTCTACCACTGAGTCACCTTCCCAGCCCCATGATTTACACATTTTTTAGTTCTGACTTCTATTTTCCATTAAAATTCCATACTTAATATTTCTGCAGTTGAGGTGCCTTTAATAGTGAATATGTACCTTTAACTTGGGAGTCCTTTTCTTCTTACCAAAAACAAATTCTTCAATCACTGATAGGTATTTGGAAACCTAGAGCCATAGAATTCTGGTTCTCATTACTTAAGAACACAAGAACTGGTGGTCTGTCTTATTCCTGTGACCCACTGTGAGAACTGATGTAAGCACATTTGTTTTGTTTTTTTGTTTTTTGGGTCCGGTTGTGGGACCTGAACTCTGGGCCTGGGCGCTGTCCCTCAGCTCTTCAGCTCAAGGCAAGGGCTCTACCACTTGAGCCACAGCGCCACTTCCAGCTTTTTTTCTTATGTGGTGCTGAGGAATCGAACCCAGGGCCTCAGGCTTGCAAGGCAAGCACTCTACCACTGAGCCACCTTCCCAGCCCCCCCTCCCCCGCACATTTAAGTTTGTTGAGAGCATAATTGTACATGTAAATATAAATGAAAAATGCAGTAAGATTCAGCAAGAGAATAAGGTGTTACCATTCCAGTGCTCTCCTTTAATTGTAAAACAATGTCTTTTTTGTTGTTTGTTTTGTTGGAAGGTAGGAGACAGGATCTTACTAGTTTCCCAGGCTCTGTGCGCGAGCGCGTGTGCGTGTGCGTGTGTGTGTGCGTGTGCGTGTGTGTGTGTGTGTTAGCTTTTTCTGCTTAAGGCTGGTATTCTACCACTTGAGCCACACCTCTGTTTGTAGCTTTTTGATGGTTAATTGGAGATAAGAGACTACTAAATTTGTCTGCTGGCTGGCTTCAAATTGTGATCCTCACATCTCAGCCTCTTGAATAGCGAGGCATGAATACAGGCATGAGCCACTGGTACATGGCTACCAGGCAGGTCTTGAACTCATGAACCTTCTGCCTCAGCTTCCTGAGTACTGGGATTACAGATACCTGCCACCACATTATGTTTGTAATGTCACTTTTTTTTTTTTTTTTTTGGTCGTGGGGCTTGAACTCTGGGCTTGGGCGCTGTCCTTGGGCTCTTCAGTTCAAAGCAAGTACTCTACTGCTTGAGCCACAGTGCCATTTTCTTTTTGTTTTTTTTGTTTTTTGGGGTCCGGTTGTGGGGCCTGAACTCTGGGCATGGGCACTGTCCCTCAGCTTTTCAGCTCAAGGCTACCACTCTACCACTTGAGCCACAGCGCCACTTCTGGCTTTTTTTTTCTTTTTGCTTATGTGGTGCTGGGGAATCGAACCCAGGGCCTCATGCATGCAAGGCAAGCCCTCTGCCCACAGTGCCATTTTCAGTTTTCTAGTGGTTTATTGGAGATGAGTCTCATAGACTTTCCTGCCCGGTCTGGCTTTGAACCGTGATCCTCAGATCTCAGCCTCCTGAGTAGCTAGGATTACAGGTGTGAGCCACCAGTGCCTGGCTTCATTATTTTTTAATTTTATTATTTTTAAGTAGTTGGACAAAGGAGTTGCCATTTAATAAAAGTTTATGAATACAGTGCACCTTGATCAACGCCACCCCTTCATAATGTTGTATTTTTAACCTAAGTCTTTAAGGTTAGATCAAAGCATACAGAGGGTGACTGTATGATTCTGCTATCAGGCTGTTGTTTAATCTTAGCGCTCTGGAGTAGTATATGTGCCTGGAACAAGCTCGGCTACTTGGCCAATGGACACTGCTGCACAGGTCTTCCCACGTAACCTGCATACATAGGCTGTCTTGAATAAATTGAACCTTAAAGCGAAGCTTGGAAGAAACTAGAGAAGTAGTTTTTAAGTATACTATGTGGAAAATAAACTCTGTGACTTGTGGGCAGGGACAGGAAAGGAAAACTTGGGGAGAGCAAAGGAAAGGGTAACATTGTTCAAAAATAAAAATTACCTGAATTATGAAATGGTAACTCCTCTGTATAATACCTTAAAAATAACAATAAAATTTTATACATTTTTTTTGGGGGGGTCCGGTCGTGGGGCGCTATCCCTCAGCTCTTCAGCTCAAGGTTAGTGCTCTACCACTTAAGCCACAGCACCCTTCCCTGCTTTTTCTGCTTATATGGTGCTGAAGAATTGAACCTAGGGCCTCAAGCTTACAAGGCAAACACTCTATCACTGAGCCACCTTCCCAGCCCCTACAATTAAATTTTTTTAAAAACAAAAGGGAAAAAAATTAAGGATATGACCCACAGTACTCCTTAAAAAATTCATTGCCTTAACATACACCTCCTGCTCAGCCTTGTGAGTAAATATGTGTCACCACACCTAGTTTCTCAAGGATTTTAGGTGGTGTAGAATGTGAAATGTGAACTAGAGATCTTCTTTTCTAAGGAAAAGGGCAGCATATTCAAATGAGGATTATTTTTGGGGGGGGGGGTCCAGTCGTGGGGCCTGAACTCTGGGCCTGGGCGCTGTCCCTCAGCTCTTCAGCTCAAGGCTAGCGCTCTACTACTTGAGCCACAGTGCCACTTACGGCTTTTTTCTCTTTGCTTATGTGGTGCTGAGGAATCAAACCCAGGGCCTCAGGCATGCAAGGCAAGCGCTCTACCATTGAGCCACCTTCCCAGCCCCATCAAATGAGGATTATTAAGTGGCCAAACTAGAGAACTGGTAACTGAAATCATTGTGGAGCTCTTCACTTTGAATTTTTCCAGACTTATTGTACATCGTTTCAAGTATTAGCAGTTCAAGTCAGTAATCTCTCTAACCTATTTTATTTTATGCCAGTTCTGGGGTTTGAACTCAGGGCTTGGCACTGTCCCTGAGCTTTTTTGCTAGCAGTTACTTCTTGAGCTACAGATTTTATGTAGTTGGAAACAAGCGTCTCACAGACTTACCTGCCTTGGCTGGCTTTGAACTACAGTCGTCAGATTTCAGCTTCCTGAGTAGTTAGGATTACAGGTGTGAGCCACTGTAGCCTAGCATATCTCTCTAACCTCTTTAACAGTGGAAGTAATACTTGCTTCACAAAATTGTTTTGAGAAATTAGATGAGGTTGTGTTTAAAATACCTAGCATTAACAGTTCTTCCATAATAGTCCCCCTCATTCTCTTTCCCTAAACTTGGAAAGTCTGGAGGAGCTAGGGCAATAGCTAGACTCACATTCAAGACATTGATGGCATTGTAATAGCAGAGTTGATCCATGTTCAGTCAGTAGGTGAACTAATAGACTGAAATGCTTTTTCTCTTTGCCCAAAGAGAAAATACTAGATACTAATTTTTTAGGAATTAATATGCAACAAATGAAAAGATTGCTTAGGAGCATGATACACAGAAGACTATGGGACCATTGTTCAGTACACAAAAAATAACCCAAAACAACAAAACCTGAACTGATTTATTTTATTTATTTATTTTTGATCTGTCTTAGGCCTTGAACTCTAGGCCTAGGTGCTGTCCCTGAGCTCTTCAGCTCAAGGAGCCTGCTCTTTCACTTGAGCTACAGTGCCACTTCCACTTTTCTGGTGGTTAATTGGAGATAAGAGGCTTATGGATTTTCCTGCTGAGGCTGGCTTTGAACCCCAATCCTCAGATCTCAGCCTCCTTAGTAGCTAGGATTATAGGCATGAGCCACTGGTGCCTAGCTTGATTTTTAATACCTTAGAATTAATTAAAAACAAAAACAGCTAGGATTCTGTTGTTTTTTTTTTTCCTGGGCAAGAAATTTATCTACTTAAGATTATGTACTTAGGGTGGGAATGTGGCTCAGTGGTAGAGTGCTTGCCTAGCATGCTAAAGCCCTGGATCAATTCCTCAGTGCCACATAAACAGAAAAAGCCAGAAGTGGAGCTGTGACTCAAGTGATAGAGTGCTAGCCTTGAGCAAAAAGCAGCTCAGGGACAGTGCCTAGACCCTGAGTTCAAGTCCCAGCACTGACATGCACACATACACAAAAGATTATATACTTATTTGATTGAAAGTATTTGGTAATTCTGTTGCAGTAAGATCTTAAATAATATTTAATTTAATATTTATTTAGAAACTGATTATTGATGAGAAGAAATATTACTTATTTGGGAGAAACCCTGATTTGTGTGACTTTACCATTGACCACCAGTCTTGCTCCCGAGTCCACGCTGCTCTGGTCTACCACAAGCATCTGAAGAGAGTTTTCCTGATAGATCTCAACAGTAGTAAGTATTTCCCTCCTGTTTCACATGCTTGTTTTTCCTGTGAGCAGTATGAAAATGCCCTTAGAGTTCTTAGTTTGAGAAACATGTTCTGTTGCTCATCCAAGGAAAAGTTTGTTATTTTGTTTAAATCAGCTTTTCTGGGCTGAGAAGTTGGCTCAGTGGTAGAATGCTTGCCTTGTATCATGAGGCTCTGGGTTCGATTCCTCAACACCACATAAGCAGAAAATAGCCGGAAGTGACACTGGCTCAAGTGGTAGGGTACTAGCCTTGAGCTGAAGAGCTGAGAGACAGCGCCCAGGCCCAGAGTTCAGCCCCCACCGACCAAAAAAAAAAAATCAGCTTTTCTCTATTTCTGTGATGTCTTGTCTTCCTTTTATAGCTGATGACAGACTATGTTAATGACAGAACAACATTTTGAGGAACGCTCTTTTGCATGAGGCACATAGGTATAGGGAACAAAAATATTACCCAGGAACTAGAAAGTATTATCCAGCGTAGATAAGACCATAAAAGATTAAGGCCCACTTGAAGAAGAGACCATGACTAGTTTCCCTAATGTAGTATAACAGCAGTGCTGAAAACGTCAGTGATACTTACTTTATCCTAGCTTCATTTTGATTTAACTGGAAATTATATCCATTTTAATTTCATGAAGTTTGTCTATTTTGCCCATTTATAAGTTCAGAGTGTAAAAAGTTCTGTTTCTTGGGCCTATTATGACTTCTGCTGGTCTCCACCCCACTGCCTACACGCACAGACATGCTTACCTCCACAGTCTGTTTATATCAGAGATCTGGTGAGCCTGGTCTTCAAGTACTTATCTGGTCTTTTCTTTCCATTTTATAACGTGCAAAATGAAAAAATATTCAGAATCTCTGGTAGGATTTTGGTTTGTTTTGTCATTGACATTGTGCCTGTATTGGTCAATTTCCTTTCTTGACCTGGGAAAGCAAGCATGGCTGCCACAAGGCTGGCAGTTTCTGTGGTGCTCAAAGTTGGAGCTGGAAGAGAGTAGAGTATGGTCATGCCCATTTCTTGTCTTGGGGTCCATGGCTTCTGCTGGATTGGAGCCATTCATTTAGACACAAAATGTGAGGAAGCCTATTTGATTGCAGAGAAAAGGCAATGGTGTTTTTGTGGGGAGGGAGTAAGAAGTCTGAAGATGTATAAGATATACACTAAAGAGCTGGGTGCCTGTGGCTCCTACCTGTAAACTGAGCTACTAAGAGGCTGAAATCCATGAATCATGGTTTGAAGCCAGCTTGGACATAAGTCCCAGAAAGAGTATCTCCAATTGCTGAAAACTGGACCAACGTATGGCTGAAGTGGTAGCGTACCGGCTATGAGCAGAAAAAAAAAGAAATCTAAAGAGAGTTGAGCTTCAGTACCATTTTTATTTTAAAAGCTTGTTTTCTGCTGGGTATGGTTGCACATATCAGTAATCCCAGGATTTGGGAAGTGGAGGCAAGACAATTGCACATTTGAAGCCATCCTGAGCTACATACCCAGTTCAAGGCCAGCTTGAACTGCATAGTGCCATAGTTTCAAAAACGAGGGGCTGGGGTTGTAGCTCAAGGGTAGCTCTCTTGCCTAGCATGCACACCGTGGCTCTGGTTTCAGTCCTCAGTACTGTCACACACACATGCACACACGCATGCACGCACCCACGCATGCAAATTTGTTTTCCGACCACAATCTTGAGTGTAATTTTTTATGACTTAAAAGCTAACAAAAAAGCAGAAGTGATTCTGGGAGGAGCTAACAATGTGAGAGGCAAAGATGATCTATCCCTTCTAAAACTCAAACTATTTTTTTTCTTTTTTTCTCTTACATTTCTGATTTGATTTTTCCCAGCACATGGCACTTTCTTGGGTCACATTCGGCTGGAACCTCACAAACCTCAGCAAATCCCCATCGATTCTACGGTCTCATTTGGCGCATCCACAAGAGCGTACACGCTGCGGGAGAAGCCTCAGACATTGCCATCAGCTGTGAAAGGAGATGAGAAGATGGGTGGAGAGGATGATGAACTCAAGGGCTTACTGGGTCTTCCAGAAGAGGAAACAGAACTTGATGTAATCCCATGGTTTTGTCTTTGGGGTGGTGGGTCTGGCAGTGGTTAGCTAGCTTACGTAGCTTCCAGTCCAGCGACTTAGCAGCAGGAGCTTCTCTTTATTTTTTTTGGTCTGGTCGTGGGGCCTGAACTCTGGGCCTGGGCACTGTCCCTCAGCTCTTCAGCTCAAGGCTAGCGCTCTACCACTTGAGCCACAGCGCCACTTCTGGCTTTTTTTTTTCTTTTTGCTTATGTGGTGCTGAGGAATCAAACCCAGGGCCTCAGGCATGCAAGGCAAGCGCTCTACCACTGAGCCACCTTCCCAGCCCCAGGAGCTTCTCTTAAGCCCATTAATAAGCCTGTGGCGATGTGATGTTTCTAACTGTAGCTGAATCTCCCTGCCACTGGGGACCCTCCCAAATGTCCTGGGCTCCTTCATGGCTATTAGAAGCCAAAACTTGGGCTTACATTTTTATGTCTTTGTGACAGCTTCAGAGTTATGTTGTCCAGTGTAGTAACCACTAAGCAAATTTCAAAGATTCAGTAGTAGTCACATGTAGCTAGTGGATACCATGTTGAAAATACAACTCTGTGTCTACAGGTTCTATATTGAATATTTTCAGTGAGGGAGAAAGTCATGTATGTACAGAACCGGCTTTTTTTTTTTATCATTACTCTCAGCAATATAGTATAGTTTTTTTTACAGCATTTACATTGTATTAGTATTAATAATCTGAAAATGATCTAAACTATAGGAAGATGTACCAAGTTTATATGTATTTTATTTGAAGGACTGAAAGCATTTGTAGGTTTTGGTATCTACTAGAAGTCTTAAAATCAATCCACATTCAATACCCTGGGACCATTATATTTCTTTTTTTGTTTGTTTTTGGGTCCGGTTGTGGGGCCTGAACTCTGGGCCTGGGCACTGTCCCTCAGCTCCTCAGCTCAAGGCTAGCGCTCTACCACTTAAGCCACAGCGCCACTTCCGGCTGTTTTTCTTTTTTTTGCTTATGTGGTGCTGGGGAATCGAACCTAGGGCCTCATGCATGCAAGGCAAGCGCTCTACCACTGAGCCACCTTCCATTATATTTCTATCACCATAGAAAGTTCTTTTAAACAGCACTGGCTTACCAAAACTAATACTTTCATTCACTTATAAAACTCTTTTGATACTATCCAAATAGCCCAAGAGTCTGATATAGAAAAGACTGCTTTTGGCTCTGGAATCCCTTGAAAGTCTGTTGTTGTTGTTGTTGTTGTTGTTGTTTATGTGGAGCTTGAACTCAAAGCCTGGATGCTGTCTCTGAGCTGTTTTTCTCAAGGCTAGTGTTTTACTACTTTGAGCCATAGTACCCCTTCCAGATTTTGAGTGGTAATTTATTTATTTATTTTTGCTGGTCCTGGAACTTGAACTCAGGGTCTGGGCACTGTCCTCTTTGTGCTCAAGGCTAGTGCTGTACCACTTGAACTACAGCACTCCTTCCGGCTTTTCCTGTATATGTGGTATTGAGGAATTAAACCCAGGGCTTCAAGCATGCTATACAAGCACTCTACTGCTAAGCCATATTCCCAGCCCTAAAAAAAATATTTTTATTTTGGTTCTGGGAATTGAACTCATGGCCCTATGCTTTCTAAACACTCTGCCACTGACATAGGCTCAGCCTAAATTTTCCATTTCTGGAGGCTGACCCCAGCGGTTTGTGATGTGGCTATTCTTCCTATGCCTGTCACTGTACTGATGTGATTTTGTTCAGACAGACCAAATGCAAGTGAGTACATACCCTCCATTTTCTATTCCTGTACACCAAGGCAAGTTAACTGCCAAGCTCAAAAGGAACTTTACAATTTAGAAGTCATTTTGTTCTGAAGAAGCAGCCTTATATCTTATTGGCCATCATTCTTGCTTTTTTTCCTCTTCCAGGCCACTTCCATGCTTTTTTTTTTGTCTTTTAGTTCAGTGTGTTAGGTTCTCTCTGGGTTTTCATTCTGAAACTTCATTCTCAAACTGCATTGCAGGTTGGAAGAAGTCCAATGGATTGGAAGACATAGGCAGCAGTGCTAAGGCCGGGTTAATTATCAAGATACATGGATGGGTGCTTATGAATAGAACTGGGACAGACACAGGAAGTACAGTGACAAAATATTAATGTCAAAAATTAAGTGCACTGGCAGTAGTATCCTTAAGAAAAGGAGAAAGCCCCTAAGAGGGAAGTCGTCCTTTTTTTTTTTTTTTTGGTCTAGTCCTGGGGCTTGAGCTCAGGGCCTGGGCACTGTCCCTGAGCCTCTTTGTAACCAAGGCTAGTGCTCAACCACTTGAGCCATAGTACCACTTGTGGCCTTTTCTGAGTAGTTTATTGGAGGTAAGAGTCTCACAAACTATTTCTGCCCAGGCTGGATTCAAACCGCGATCCTCAGATCTCAGCCTCCTGAGTAGCTAAGATTACAGATGTGAGCCACCAGTTACCTGGCTGTCCTTTTTCATCTCTCAATTGTTACACAATTCTGTTTATTTAAATTCTTGCTCTTCTTCACAGTCATTTTCTTTAATCCTCATCATGTGGCCTTCACTAAAAAACAACAAAAAATTCAAGGGTATTTGAACAAATGACCTGTACACTTCCTTCTGACTAGCACTCCTCATGAGTTGATGAGGATGATCTCATTTTTTTCAAATGAAACTTGTTAGTATTGCATATTGGACATTACCGATCTTTTTTAGAAACAGAGGGAGTCTTGTTTGCTTTTGGAGATCAGAGTAAGCCACAAATGCTTTTATACCCTTAATTTAGTGATATTTTCTCCATGAAATTCCCTGTATACTAACTATTTTGTTTTTCCTGGCCTAGAACCTGACAGAGTTCAATACTGCCCACAACAAGCGGATTTCAACCCTCACCATTGAGGAGGGAAATCTGGACATTCAGAGACCAAAGAGGAAGAGGAAGAACTCAAGAGTGACGTTCAGTGAGGATGATGAAATCATCAACCCAG